TACTTATCATCATGTTCTTGTTGTTTTTTTTCTTGGGTTTGTGTTATGCAATTTGTCTGCATGTGTTTGCATGATGCACTGTTGGTAGTGAGGATAATATATAAATTATAAAATATATTTTTGCTTGTTGAAGGCCTACTTCTAAAATGTAAAAGAGCCAAACAATGTTTGTATTTACTACGTAATGTATACATTTCTAGCCTTTGTCCTGGGAGCATTTGCTAACACGTAGTTTTATCTTGGTTGAATTAAGAAGGTGCTGGATTACCCTGCAAGTTAACCGTGTGGAATATTTTGCAGTTGGGCTCAAATGAATTTGAATAAGCTGAACTTTGTTTGACCCCAGTATAAACTTAATAATTAAGGAAATAAATCTAGATTTTGATTCAAGGCCCATCCAAAGGACAGAGCCAGAAGATCAGGTGATAAATAACACGTTAGCCATCTTATAAAATATTGTACCTTAGTGGTCTGAGGCCAGTATACATAGAAATATTATTGAAAATATGGCCAGAGAAAAGTCTTTGGCAACATTGGTTGATTGTCTGATGACCAGCAGTCGTTGGTAATAGATCTAGACTACTCACAGTTATGTAGCCTGTCTCTACAATATCACATATATTAAAATAAAGCCTGGAATCAGATGCAACTGCAAATTTTTTTGTACCATCACCCACCCCTTTGAAGCTAAATCCATACATACAATAATGTATAAATATAAAATAAATAAATGAAATAAAATTATTAAATGTTTATTACATTTACTTATTTTGTATTGTCGCTGTAATCATATTAACATTTTAATTTAATATTAATAAATGTTTATATCGACGTTTGCATTAAATTAACCTAAATATAGAGCGTCAGATTGTATAAAATGTGCTATTTCAATAAAGTTTACAATCACCATTATTAGTATTATATTTGTTAATGTGGTTAAATTTTACTAGGAAATATTATCTTGCAGTAAATAAAGAGTTCAACAGACTCCGACCGGAACTGAAGATTTGTATTGCTTGTTATCCCGACCGGAACGTTTTTAGTGTAACACACCGCTTGGCAGTCATGTCGGCGCTGAAGTCAGGGCGCTCACTGTTAGAGTAGTCCAATTTCTGTTCAAAATAACTCACTCACTTATTTTTATATTCAACAACACCCCAGTTGGAGATTATGCGTTGAAGGAAAGCGACGTACTCGCCGCAGTATCGATTTATTTTGAGGTAAAATAAGTTTTATTCCCGACTTCTCCCTCAGGCTTTCCCTCTGTTTCACTGTTCACGTTAGCTAACGTAACGCAACAGTAACACAACAGTGGCGTCCCTCTGAGTTTGGACCGCGTTACCTAGCGGGGAATAAAAGCTGGTGTAGGAAACATAAGATGTATTCAGGTCGTCGTTGTGTGATAAGATGAAATAGTTGGTGCTTGTGTCTCATACAAAGTGATTCATATCTCTATAGTTGCTTTATTGTTGCTACCGGTAACGTCGCTAATGTTGATTGTGTAGCTGCAGCTCAACTAACGACCATGTGTGTCCGTGAAGTCCTGTTTTGTTCTTTACTCTGTGAGGTGGTATCAATACTGTGTGGTTATTATTGATCACCAATGGCAGCTTATGTGCTTTCTCAGTTGTTTGAGCCATGGCATCTCTATCAGAGGAGGTGCTGCTGGTGGTGAAGAAGGTCCGCCAGAGGAAGCAGGACGGCACACTTTATCTGATGGCTGAGCGTATAGCATGGGGTCCTGAGGGCAAAGACCGCTTCACAGTCAGCCACCTGTATGCAGATATTCGCTGTGAGTATCCTAACATTAACGAGTACTGCTAGAATAATGACCTGTTGGGGAAGTTGTCAAGTTTACACTTTGTTCTCCGCACAGGTCAGAAGATCAGCCCAGATGGTAAAGCCAAAATTCAGCTGCAGCTGGTTCTTCACACCGGAGAGAGTACCACATTCCACTTTTCCAATGAGAGCAGTGCGCTCAAAGACAGAGATGCTGCCAAAGAACTGCTACAGCAGCTACTGCCCAAGTTCAAGAAGAAAGCCAACAAGGAACTGGAGGAGAAAAACAGGTGACTCTCTCTTTTCTTTGTTACTGTCAACACATTGGATTTACATCGTCAGTAGGAACTAACAGACTTGTGGCTGAGGGCCTCAAACAGGGTACAGAAGTCTGAAAGTGTATGATGATCCGTTTTTGTTGAGCTTTGGATTTTAACTGTAGAGCTAGTGGGACAGTGTGTGGGACAAAATAATCTCAATTCAAGATGAACTTTTACTAGTTTTACTAAAAATGACTAAAGTTTTTGGTGATTTTGGAAGCTGTAGTTGGTGTTACAATGAGAGGTGTTTCTAATATTTAGTCCAGCGTCAGATGTAAATGGGGAGTAACAAATATAATTGAGCAATACCACAAATTTATGACCATACAGTTAACAGTTTCAACAAAAACTGAACTTTATATGAAGGTATGATTGTTTGCAGGACGTCTGTATTAGACTGTATTAGTTTTAGTCAGTTGTACCTAATAAACTGACAACTGAGTGTGTATAGATGTAGTTGATTGATTTTATTACTGTATATGAGGGTAGAAACTGTCCGGGATTTAGTTTTTGTAATATCATTTTTTTTAGGTTTTTAGGGAAATGTACTCATTAAAATTCAAATATTGTTCTTTTATTTTGGCCTTGTAGGATGCTTCAAGAAAGATCCAGTACTGTTCCAGTTAAATATAAAGATTCCGTGGTGAGAAGTGATCAGTGCTGACGAATTCTGGCAACCGTTTAGGAGACATAAACCAACGCAGACCCCACGCCGTACAACAAAAACAGGAAAGTGGGTATAGTCCGGAGCCTTCCTGGTGAGTACATCAAGCCTTGCCAACAGTTAGAGCCTTTCATTCTGAAAACGACCTGATATTAAATTCCCACTGCACAGCATTTACTACATACCTGTTGAAAAAGTAAAAGTTTTTGGTGCTTTACAGGCCGACATTAGAACCTTCAGACGGATGGCAATGCATGGCTTGAAGATACAATCTGACAGGCGGATATTATTGAATCCATCTTCAGTGACCATACCCTGCATGGGTAATAGCATAAACTCATGAAGTAAGCAACAGTAAATAAACCAGACGAGGAAAGGTCTCTACAAGGCTCAGATTTCCATTTCAACCCTAAGATCTGTGTGAAGTGATTTTACTGATTAACACACTTTGCCCAGAGAGGAAGAACTGGTATATATTTTAGCTTGGGCAGTGTACATTCCTGTTAGTGGACCGATTCTGGTGTTCCTCAGTGATTACATAAACAAATTGGAAATGGAATATATATTTACATCAACTTGAGTTGTACTTGCAGTGAAGCAGAAGTATAGTAAAATGTGCCTCAACATAACCTGAACGGAGAAGCGGTTCTGGACCCGCTTTTTTCCAGTCCCATTATTTTCACAGAGACCCGCATCAACACAAGGAAACACAGGAATATCTTCTCAGATGGTGCCAAGCAGGATGAAAAGGGTAGGAGTTTCTTTTATCAGGTGCAAAATCTCCACCAAATAAATGTTAAGGATTTTTTAGTGTGTGTATTATTTGCATTACTGGAACAAAACCTGCTCAAGCCAACAAATCTTGTTTACATATGTAAAGAGTCTGAAAATCTGTCTCATGCAGGTTAAAGTCTATGGTGGTTCAAGGAGTGAAGAATCCTTTGGTTGACCTTCCTGTCCGTTGGAGGATAAAACCATTAGACGAGGTGAGAGTTAAAGAGATATATAGCCAAAATTCACATACTTGCTTCATTTACTTGCATAGCTTTCCTTTTCCTCCTCTGTCCTTCCACCTCCAAGACTTGGTATTTTCTGTGACACCCAGGGTTTACGGAGTTTCCTCGGGACCGCCCTCAACTTCCAATTTTAAACAGGACGGTGAAAAGAGAGCAGCAACGCTCATTATACAAGCGGTTCAACCATCACAGTGCCAATGGTGCTGGCCGCTGGCTCACGCAAGGGGTAAAGAAATCTTGGCAAAACGAATACAACTCCCATGCCCCCTATCTCAGTGTCTTAAACTTTTTTGCTAACGGCATCATATTTTTAAAGGGAAGCACCGAACAGAACCAAGCCAGTGAGACCGAGCAGTACAGATGGAAACCGAGAGACTCTGACTTTCTTCCAGCCTCCTGTTTAAGAAGGTTGATGGCTGCACTAGTTTCATCAGTGTTTCCAAAAGATGATCATTACTTAACCAAGACTGAGTCCACTTTTCTTCTGTTGGCAAACTTTCTTAGGTTAGGTTACAAGAAGCCATCGATATGAAGACAACTGCAAACGGAAAAACAACCAAAAACCAGTCGCGTTAAAACCTCAAGAATGTATGACAGGTACAGTTTGTCTCCTATTTTCTTTATTTTTATTTTCCTTTTGTTCCTTCCCTGGGTAACTTGAGACGTTTGTTAACTCCAAGTGGCTTTTCAAGTGGTTAATGAGGTTAATATTTCATCTAACACCTATTATAATATATACATTAACCAGGCAAAGCTGAGCTTTTCAATGGCTTACTTACCCAGACATTAAATAATACATTTATTAGTTGTGTCCGGCTCCTAAACAAAGACTCACTTTGTGAAACTTCTGTAGCCACGAAATCAGCCTGTGCAGAATTTAGGGAGAAGCTCTTCTGTTAGTGAGCCCCACTTCCTCTGAGCAAGTTTCCACTTTGTACTGTTTCGAAATAGATTTTTGCATTTCTTCCAACAGGAATTTACACTTTCAACTGAATAAAACTTGTCCAGGAGTTAACGATTTTTTGTTATGTGTTCTTTATTAATGGTTCCGTGTTCAATTTATGTTTCTCCCTTCTTTATTTGGTCAGATATGCTCACGCCCTGTTCCACTTTCTGTCCAACAACTATACAACAAGCCAGGATATCATCAACTCTGTCAACTACATCCGGCATGAAATGGTCAATTACAAACCCAACCTCACTCAGGTTAGATCACACACTGTAACTCTGTTTGGATTTCCCATTTCTTGTGAACATTTAAGGCTCCGGCCTCTGCAGAGATACAGTATAATGTGCTGTGTAATGAGAGCCGCGTTCAAAGTTTCTCGTGTCGTAGCTGACTGAGAGACTCTAATCACGAGTCTGCGTCGAAATACCACAAATACTTCAAGTCACATGATTAACAGAAGATGATTCAATATTTGTTTTTATTTGCTCTTTGGTCAGATGATTTAGATTGGGACAAATTAGGATCAGCTGATTCTCACTACAGTCTTGAAAATGTAACAAATATAGCGAACTATAACCAAACCTCTCAGAGCGTAAAATGGGATTTAAGATCATGTACACCTAATTGTGTTCACATATTTTCAAAAAGAGTTCCAGTCTACCTGAAAAGTGTGTTTTTAACCACGGTAATACTCTCTGTAGGTGTTGTCCAGCACAGCAGCTACTTCTGCCATTGCAGCACTTTCTCCAGGTGGCGTCCTCATGGTGGCAGGAGCACAGCAAGCCATAAACCGTAAGTGTGTTGTACAATTGCTAAATAACATTAATATTACTTCCTGTGAAAGTTGGTGGTCAGTGGGTGCCCACAGCACATCTGTAGTGTGTGAGGTTGCTCTGCAATACACTCACAAAATAGCTCATCTTGTCTGTCTAAGATTTTTTAAATTTAATTTCTTTTCTTTCCAATCTTTGTTTGTTACAGAGATGGTACCTACTGAGGTTCAAGGAGAGTTAAAGCACCTTTATGCAGCTGCTGGAGAGTTGTTGAGACACTTCTGGTCCTGTTTTCCTGTAAACACACCATTTCTGGAGGAGAAGGTGACTAATATTCACTGTATTCAAAGAAGGTCAAATGATTATGAGTTATTCCTGTGACACCCCTGATTTCTGGAAACAAAAACAAAAATGTGTGTTGTGTGTGGTTTAATGGAAATATAAACAGTTCATAACAGTGTATATATTTCATATTCCCTTTGGACAATGAATTACTGAGTTAACTTGACACTGATCCCAACATTTTGTGTTTTATATTTACTTATCTTTGGTTAATTTATAGATATTTGTTTCCACTTGGACATTAACAACATTAATTTTCCTTCTTTGATTAGTTTAAAAGAAGAAAAAAACATGTTGTTGTCCAAGGCTGTAAATAAACTTTTCCCTCAGTATGTGTCAGCATATAGTTAATATTCACTTAACACAACCACCAGTACAGTTTCCAGTCACTCTCAAAATCGATATTGTATTTTTAAAAGGTTTTTCTTTAAATTTGTTGTCATCTCAAACTTCTCATAGGTGATGAAGATGAAGTCAAACCTCGAAAGATTTCAGATGACGAAGCTTAGTCCTTTTCAGGAGAAGATCCAGCGCCAATACTTAAGTACAAATGTAAGTTTCTAAGCCACTGGTTCTGAAATGATGCAGTGTGGACCACTGGTGGTTCGCCGGCTGCCTCTAGTGACGGAGTAACCACCATTAATTAATTCAAAAACATATAATACTATCAAAATACTACAACATTTAGAATACAAATATTTGAACTAGGAGGTTGCTGAAATGTAAGTTAAAATAAATGTAGCTTGTCCTGTAATATTTTGTCAGCCTGTTGCGTAGTCATGTATATAATTATTTATTATTATTATTATTTTAACATCGGTCCTAAAGTTGGTACTAGGAGAGCCTGATGTTTTCAGAGGCGGTATAGTTTGAGAAACTCTGCTCTAAGCTGTTAATAGTGGCACAATAATGGTTTATACAAGGTTGTATTAAATCTCTTTATGTTCCCACAGCTCACAGGCCATTTGGAGGAGATGTTGCAGACAGCCTATAGCAAGTTCCACATCTGGCAAACCCGTCGCATGATGAGGAAAACCTGAGGGTCTGAGGGTTTGTCAAAGAGAGGACAAGGAAGACAAAGTATTTGGACAAATTGCCTGTGGAGGTTCTCCAGACTGCTGTGAAGAGACCACAGATCACAGCCTGATTGGGACATGGTTCACAGAGGCTTAATGAAGATACAGGTGGACGCTGTTAAAACTGTTCAACAGAGACTAACTGCATCTCAGTCACAAATAACTGTAATTAGTTAATTTCTCCTTTTTGTTTGTGTTTTCTCAATGGTTGAGAGATTGGTTCCGCTAATGGTTAAATGGGACTTTTAAAACGGTGTAACATGACCAAAATTCAGATGGAAAAGTCAGAAGGGCACTCAGGACAAACAGGCTGAGGCGTGAGATGCAAGCAGAGGACTTCATCTCGTGTGTTTTCTTCAGTGCACAGAGCAGAGAAAGAGAGGAAGCCCCTCTGAGCACTGAGTCATGTTTAAGGCAAAAAAAAAAAAAAAAAAGGCGACGTAAATAGAGCAATACTGTAAAGACATTTCACACTCGAGTGCATTAGTGTGTGTGATCACACTGTCACTGGTTTGTAATGTCTGCACCCTCTGTCTGCACTTAAGATGAAAAATGTTACTCTGAATTAAAGTGAGGCATAAAGCTTTTGTTCATGCTGCTGTCTATTGAAACTGCAGTATTTCATTAATACAACTCGTTTATGTTTTTGTGATTGTCAGTGTGGTCGTTCTTCTCAAAGTGACCCATGATACTTTGTTATCCAGGGGTTCACCCACAATAGATGCACAGTAGATCACAAACCTCTTAAATTGACAGGATTTTGTCTTAAAGAAGTCTTCACAGTCAATCAATAATCAAAAGATCACTATAAATTACAATTCTCCCTTGTGGCAACTTCCAAAACAATGTGATAATATTACATTAAATATTACACCACCTACAAACCCACCCGAGGACCCCTGTTGGTCCCTGGACCCCAGTTTGAACAGCATCCCTGGGCTGGTAGGTTGTCTGGAAACCACTTTCAGGAAGTGTCCTCCCATCAGCTGAGCCCGGCTGTGACAGGTCGGCTGGTTGCAGTCAGGGTGGATTGACACTGACCGCCGACTTTCTCCCAGGAAAGTGACCCGGAGCAGCGATGTAACCGGCGGGTTGGACTGGATGTGGTAGTCGGTAGCGCTGGAGCGTCCCTCCGACCGTTGGGTGAGTTTAACGGACAAAAACGAACGAGTCAACGGCAACATCACTGTCTGAGCTAGCTAGCATGCGTGCTAAGTTGTTATGGCAAATACAGTGACACTGAGGCTAACTGGCGTACTGAACCAGAGTCCTTTTATTTATATTTATGTTAATTCAGATAAGCCGTCATGGATATTTAACATGGCTACGTAGTGCTGGTATTTACTTTATGTTAAGGCTTTCGGAGTTGTTTTCATTTTGAAAGAAACGTTAGCGCCAGTGTCAGCAGACTGGTCTCGTGATGCACGATCAGCCGGTTGACTCGCTGCTTTCAGTTGTTCGCGGCGCACTGACTTAATCAATAGGCTCACTTTGCTGCGGGGACTCAACGAAAACTTTTAACCGAAGTGATCCGTCCAGTGATCCGTCCAGTGATCCAGTCGACCGAGCCGCAGTAAACTGACACTAACCGGGACCGAGTGAGCACGAGAGCTTCACAATTCGAGGTTAGTTGACGGTTGTTAACGTTAACGTTTGGAACGTTGTTTGGAACGTTGACGTTGGAACGTTGTTTGGAACGTTGTTTTGGAACGGTTAATAGAACGGTCTGTGTTAACGGCTGTGTCCTCGCTTTAGTGCTGTACTCACAGGAGACATGTTGGAGGTACCGGTACTTTCCTTGGGTATTTCCATTTCATACCACTGTTACTCCGATACAGTTCAGAGTCCACATACTGCACAGTTTACTCCTGTACATCTGACAACTCTAGTGACTTTAATTCAATTAAGTTCAATTTAAAGGGGTTTTATTATTTACCCAATTTCCCTTCGGGGATTAATAATAGTATCTAATCTAATCTAAATCTAAATTGGCAACGTAAACAGACGTTTACCTTGTCAAAGCAAGTGTAAAACATTAGATTAGTAAGGAAAAAACTAGAAACAAATCAAAAGTAGACTTGAGGTCTTGTTGGTTTTTTACAATAACTTCTTGGCTTTTTACATGTTAATGCTATAAATAATGATGTTTTAATAGAATATAAACACAGTCAGAAAACTGACTGTGTTTATATTCTATTAAAGGAAGGAAGGAAGTTTTTCAGTGCAGGACTTTAATGTATTTTATATTATGCCTACTTTTTATATTATTTTTATTGACATATTTTCATAGCACATTACATACAGGCACATACACTTGTGGGGGAACATTTACAAGTTCAACAACTACAATCATCAATGCGTTTGTGGCTACTTTGACTTTATAGTAAGGGATCTGGATACTTCCTCCACCGCTGACCACGAGGCACAAAGCTGACATACAAATAACAATCATTAAAGCACCCCATGGCTCCTCAGGTTCAACATATCAGGTAGTTTGTTATAATACAATAAAGTGGTTTTTTTTGTCAGTGTGTAACATTCAAGCAAACAAATTGGGGAAAAACATGAGTATGAGTGTCTCTGGATCTTTATCTTGTGTATCTGGACCCCTGTACATGGCCATTATAGGGGCCAATTTTACATTTTTGTCCCACATTTGTTTAGCAGGTCAATTTGTGTACATCCTAAACCCCAAACACATTCCTGGAGCAGTAGAGTCCAAACAAATACAAAGGTCAGAGTTGACTGTCGCTTCTCGCCTTCTTTTCAAATACCCGTGTCAACTCCTTTAATGCGTAGGAGGACATTTTGGTTTAAACATTTGTGTATCATACATACTGTGTTTTTTTTTTGCCAGCAGTATCTGATTACTCTGCTTTAGTTTTGCTACTGCTTGCTCATAAGTTCACTTAAAACCAAAACAAGTCAATTAAAGTCAATTAAAGTCAAACTACAGTGTGTTGTGCTGCATCTTGCTCTGAATTGAGTCCTCTGCTCCTGTTAAAACAGTCTTTCTGACTATATTAACTGACTGCTCCAAGGTAAGAGACATTTTAAAAACACTTACACGACACTAAATACGAGGTAAAGAAACTCCCACCCATTCAAGATGATTCATATTTATTAACTCATTGACTCTAGTTTCTTCCTCATTGTTGTCATCAAATGTCAGCAACACATTTCCTAAATAGTAAAATATCTTTAAGTGTAGCTTTATTTGCCCTGTAAGTACATGTTTTACTCTCTGATGAAGGAGTTTTACCAGGCTGGAAACTGTAAAGTGGAGTCATGACTGGTCAATTTGAGAGGGTTGGTGGCCTGAAAGTCACAGATGCCACACCTCTGAGGGCCACGGTGTCCGAGGAAGCAGAGCAGTCCCTCACATTTTGCTTTCTCTCTCTTTCTGTCGTAGAGGATCACCAGTGAAGATGCCTCTGATACCAGTTGTACCAGAGAACCACAGTCATGTACTGGCAGAGTTTGACTGCCTCGATCCACTTCTGTCTGCTCTCCGATTAGACTCTGGCAGGCTCAAGGTAGGTTTCACCCTCACATGAAGATGATTTATAGTAGCTTATTATTTAGTATCTGAAAAGTTCTACCAAGTTAATTTATTTATATATACTTTAAATGGTTATTGTACCTTGTGTATGTCACCAAAACTCGTTTTTAATCAGACTTTAAAGGCAGAAAAATGTCTGGTGTGGGTACAACATTGTTCCTCTAACAATGTAAATGAACAGATCAGTCAACTCTTTCTATATGTGACCCTGTTGTGTTACAGTGTACCTGTCTGGCTGTGTCGAGGAAGTGGCTCGCATTGGGAACATCAGCAGGAGGATTGCACCTGATTCAGAGGGAGGGCTGGAAACAAAGGCTCATCCTCACACACAAGGTAATATGTGACTGAGGACCTATTGTGCAGACATACAGATATACATATATGTATGTTGTTTTGCTGTTAACTGATACAGTAGTATTTGTATCTGTCAGTTCCTCTTATTTTGTTGTTAATATCTAACCCATCATGCGCTCTCTTTCAGGAGGGATCTATCACTCAGGTGGCGTGTTGCCCTCATGATGAAGACTTTATCGCTGTTGCAACAAGGTTAGAGTCACTCAGTGAACTCAAGAAATGTTTCATATTCATCTACACTCAACGTATTGTTCACAGTGTTTCTCTCTACTCCAGTCAGGGTCTGGTGGTGGTGTGGGAGCTGCAGCTAGAGCGGCGGGGGCGTCCAGAGAGAGTCAGTGTATCTTGGGAGCACCGAGGTCAGGCCATCACTGCGCTCTGCTGGGACACCGGCACGCTCAGAGTTTTTGTTGGGGACTCAGGAGGCAAAGTGTCCTTTCTCCGTGCTGGATCCTCAAAGCTGGGCAAGGTAGTGACTGCCGGACAGTGAAAATAAATAAAATGTGACTTTTGGAAAAGTTAAGGCATTTTCTAGCTGATACTCCTACTACTGATCCAGTAGTTTAATAAGGTCTCAGAACTTAATCGACTCAGCGGGCCTTAATTCAAGTCAGGTGACGGAGGTTAATGAATTCTCTGACCCTTCTAACCTGACAGGATGTTACAGGTTAGGCAATCACAGAGACATTAAAGCAGCTGACTAAGAACCTAAAAATAAAGCTAATCGACTCTTAATTAGTTCAACAAAGTAAGGTTGTCTTATTCCCCAGACTATGTATATAATATAATAATATGAATTGAATATTGGTGGTTTGATCTGCATTGTTTATTTATTTGTATGCAATAAGGGAAATAAGGTAAAATGTATCTTCACTCTTGTGTTTTGCTTTGGAAAATGTTTCTAGCTATGTAAAGTCTAAGCAGACTGTAGTAAATAGGTAAAATGTGCAAAAAGTATAAGTTATTAGCTGATTTGATGTGCAGTAGATGTTTAAAATGAACCAGTGTCACTCCTTTCTGTGTCCACTTTATTTCCTTCATGTCCGCGCATTAAGCGATTATTTATTTGATATTGTCTTTTTTGTGTCCAGGGGTCAGCGTTCGTGATCTTCCCTGTTCAGACTGTCACCACTGTGGACTCCAGAGTGGTTCAGCTCGGGTACCAAGATGGCCGCCTGCTGGTGTCTTCCCTGAGTCGCTGCTACCTCTGTGACACAGAGCGGTGAGTACCACCATGGCTGCATCTCTGACAGAGAGAGACTCTAAGGGGGTCCATGTTAACGCCCCCAGATTTTTGTTCCTACTTAAAGAACCAGTGTGTAAACATAGTTATGAGTATTATATTCCAGTTAAATCCTCTTAAGTGTTACATACTGGACATTTAAGTGTCCTTTAGAAAGATGCTGAATCCTTACTCAAATGGTTGACATACTAGTTTTGTGGTGATTTATTGAGGACTATCTCTTTTAAAGTGATGAAGTTATTTTTATGTTTATTTAAGATATTTATTCTCTGTATTATTTGTCCTTGTGACCCTGCACAGGATAATATTCAAGTTTTATTGATTTAGTTTTTAACCATTATGTTTAAAATAATAATGCGGATGACTCTATGGTAATTTGGGTGGTGTAGTAATCTCATGTTGTGTTGTATTTTTCTGTCTTTACCTGCCTTCAGGGAGAAGTTCTGGCGCGTTGGAAATAAGGAGCGTGACGGGGAGTATGGAGCTTGTTTTT